TTCAACTAAGGCAGCAAAGCTCGAGTCTTGACCTCAAGAGCTCGAGCTCTACCTAAACGCGCTCGAGCCTTACCTTAGGGTGCTTGAGCCTTTGCCCAAAAGCTCGAAACCCTTGAGGTGTTAGAATTTGAAGAGTTGATTTCAGAAAATCCATGCTCCAAGGACCTCGTGCCAAGACTAAAGGGATCGAGCACCTTCACAAAGCTCGAGCCCTGAGCCAAAAAGCTCATACTCTAAGCGTAGGGCTTGAGCACCATGAAGAATGGATCGAGTACTGTTAAAAGGAAAAACCCAAAAATATTCTAAGTGTTGATGGAAAGATACTTCAGAAAATAGTTGAAGAAATTTGTCTAAATATAAAAGTGATGCTAGAGCACCATTCAATAAAGCTCGAGCCATGTTCTAAAAACCTCAAGCTATGCTTCGAAAGCTCGAGCCCGTGCCAAATAGCTCGAGCTTAAGCTTCTAAAGCTCGAGCTCTCCATGACATATTAGACTTTTTAGATGCAGGATTTGCCCTTATTAAGTCATATTTCATTCAGGATGGGCCAGAAGACGTCAGAAAACCTAAAAGCCCGTTAGAACCCAAAATAGAAGTTAATTCTTCTATAAAAGAAAGCACAAGGCCACAGAAAACCTCTACTTCTCTTTCATTTTATTCTCATATTGTGGTGGCAGCTTTTAAGGTTTCTATAGTTTAAAAAAGTGAAGATCATGAGAAGAAAAGTGTAGTCCGTGATGATGAAGATCACAACAACACAGATGATATCTTGGGTTGTCATGAGTAGCTAATTCCTCTCTTAGGGCATTGATGTAACCCGATCAAAGTACTATGGTTTGATTATATTAACTTTGAGAATTTTAATGAATTATATATTTTGATTGCTTGATTTTGAGCAATTGAGTCACATCAATTGGATTTTAATGTTAAAATAGTTTTTGAATATTTAATACCTTGTCTTAAATTTTATTATTCAGTAAGTATTCTCAACCCATTCTTATTGGACAATATCTGGTGGAGGCCTATCGGACATAAGAATGGAGATCATGTAATGGTGTTCCAATATTTTTTTATGAATGAATATTTTCATAGTCTATGTTTAGGAAAGATGGATTATACTGCAAAATTAGTTAAAATAGTTCGAAGTAGGTAAGTGGATAGTTCATGCTAATCGCAAATAGGTTATAGTTAATTGAAATTCATAAAATATCTTTCTTTAAAACCAAATTAAACGATTGTTATTGAGTTTAATTCATTTAATATATAAATTGTTGAAATCCCAAGATTGAACGGTTGACCATAGTACGAAGTTCGTGGTAAAATTAAGCCCTAAGAATCTCTCTCTCTGATCTCTTATCTTAATTTTAGTTTTCTTTTCTTTTATGTTTGTGACAACCAATCAATCAAATCAGTTATCTTCGAATTAAAAATTGGATTAATTAGAAACAAAACAAATACTTTCATCTCCCTCTGGGATCGACATCCTCTATATAGTCCTATCCTACAAAGATTCATACTATTGTGAGTGGTATACATTGAGCACACATCAGGACCAAAATTAAGTGTTGGTTCGGTTATTAATTAATTAATTTTCCTTAATTCAGAAAAAGTACCAAATATGGTTGGGATTCAAACCATGTTGAATCTTAGAAACAAATGTAGAAATATTAGAATAACATGCAGAGGTGTTGAAATAAACAAGTACCGGAAAAGGACCACATGTTTACATTGGTCATGGGTTAAGATTCTAGCACTTTTTTGGACTAAAATGTTAATATCAATCATGGTTTAAGATTCCAGCAACTCTGTGGCAACATAATCTTCAGTACAAACATCAACAGCTTCTGTGAAGATGTCTTTAAGGTGCTGAGGATTATAGAAAAGTGTGAATGAAAGTCCTTTCAAAAGTTGTTTCCTTTACAGAAGGTGTTAAATCATTTGGGTTGACAATTGTATTCTTGTGTTGGTTAACACTTGTTTCAACTAAAATTTCAACAGCTAGATATTCAGTCTTCTTAAGGTAGCTCAAATTATTTTAAATATATTTTCGGATTGAATAAGACCAAAATATTATTTTAAAAGGGGGCATTGTTTGTACCCTAAAAATATTTTTTGATCACTGGTGATGATCAGTTACTTTAAAATATTTTTATTTGACCTTATGATGCTAATTGGTTTTGAAGAAAGATTCTGATTCGACCCGTGGTGCTGATTAATTGGAAAATGGTTTCGAATACAACAGTTTCATCAATAGGGAATTATTTCCAAATCTTTGCACTCTAAGTGAATTATAATTCAGCCACGTGGTGTCCATTGATTGGAAGATGATATGACATTTTACTATTAAGGCTCTTATTCAAATTTGGAGTTAAACTCAACATGTGATAGTATATACATTAAAATAATTTCCTGATTTAATCATATATGAAATGCCACGTCATCAAGAAGTTCTATTCCACACAAAGCATTAATTGAGAAGCACGTGCATTTGGATAAATATTTAGACAAAAAATGTTAAAGTGTTTGAATTTGAATAACATGAAAATAACAGCTACTTTCAACTGCTACAAGGCTTCTTTATGAATAGCGCTGGAGAGATCTGCACAAGAGGTCCACGGCCACAACAAGATTTCATTTTCTTCAATTTACTTAGTCATTTTACTTAGTTTTTCCTTTGCATTATACTTCTTTTCTTAGGAGTTTTACTTAGTATTTTCTTTGCATTATACTTCTTTTCTTAAGAGTAGTATTAGAATCCAACACTTCTTATACTTTGTATGAAAATCCTACATATGAAAAAAAAAAAGTGAGACGCTTGGCTTTAGTCCATCTACTTTTATTTTTTAAGTCTCTTGGAATAAATGAATGCTTGTAGAGTTTGTTTTACTCCCTTCATGCATTCCACTTTTAGTATTGAAAGTTTTCTTTATTGAAGCGTTGAAGAACCTGAAGGAAGGGATTATCCTTACCTTCCAACAGTCGCCTGATTCACAAAAGGGCCGATTACGAATTCGGTCAATGCCAATGATAGTTTGGCTATCCAACCCTTCTTAATCAAAAGAATCTGGCATGCCCCTAAAAAAAGGAGCCAAACACTTTCCTGGTTCCACATTGGGCCTTCACTATCTGGACAATGTGGGGGCAATTGGGCCTTTATTTTTTTTTTCTTAATTTTAATTTAATTTTATTATTATTATTATTATTTTGACAATAATTGGGTTGATTTTGTTTTCCCACATGGGCTTCGGCCCTATTGCATTGGGGATATCTCTTAATTTGATTCACACTTATTTATTCTAAAAAATAAAATAAAATAAAATAAAGTGTGTACAATTAGAAGAAATGTATGCAAAAACATACAACTAGAGGAAGTGTACGACAATCATGCTATAGTCTTTGCACTTTGCCTTTTCCATGCGTGCATGCTTATGCGCGTACCTATCAAGAAGAATACAACTAATGCGACGAATTTTCGTATAACAAAAGTAATAGTAAAAGATTCACAACGTTTCGGTTTTTTTCTTTATTATTTTTATTATTAAACCGGGATTGGCTAATAACTTGGACCAATTCCAGGGGGAATGGACAAATGAAACTTTCAGACTTGAAAATATAAAATATCATACGTAAATATTTAATATAAAGAACATTATACAACCCTTTTCATTTTAAGTTGTCGTCTATATAGCATACAAACCCATCTTATGTTTGATCTACTTGACCAAGAATTTTTTTTTTTAGCTATTACTCACACATATACTTCTACTGAGACTCGAACCCCTGACTTCTCTTTAAGAAGTAGAAACTTAATACCGCTAGGTCACTTACCTAACATATTCAACCACTTAAGTGTAGTACGACTATACTGAAAAGAAAATAAATTGGCCGGCGAAAACTAATGCATTTATGTATGCATCTGCCTGTAAAAAAGAAAAATTAAATAAATTATACCTCTGTCTCTCTCTCTCTCTCTCTCTCTCTCTCACTATATCTATATATATATATATCTTAGGCCACAATCAATTTTTGTTTTTGGGTAAATGCCACAATCAAACCACTTCAATCCTCTGGTTCATACCTGGACTCAACTTGCAGTATTAGGTGTTACCTAGCCAAAAAATAATAAAAATAATAAAACAATCGATGTTTGTTTGAATTTTTAATCAATGAAATGGTATATGTTAGGTGCATCTTAGGTGGAAATCAATACCCAATTTGAATTTTTTATGCTATTGTTGTACTAGTTTCTCTTTAAACCATCATAATAATAATAATTATTATTATTATTATTATTTTGATAGATAAATAGCACACGCATCATACTCACACGCACCACACCGTCTTATGTGAGACTCACAAACAGCTCATGACCTTATGGTAATATTATTATTAAAGGTATAGGTAAAAGTTCAATTTATATATGATAATATGGACACACGTGCGGTCATATGATGCAAACAAAGTAATAGTGAAAAAAATAAGGCAAAGAGCAACAAAGACGATTACTTCATGCCAAAATTACATTCAACAATTCACAACCCAAAACCGCGTGAATAAATTTATTTATGTATATATATCTTAGGGAAAAGAAAAAATTTGAAGGAGAAGACATTACTTGATCAGTAATATTAAAAGCCACCATACACATTACACATTATATATATATATATATATATATTGATCTTCAAACTCATCTGTATGTAGCTTATAATCATCCCCGGCCCCCTCTCTCTCTCTCATTTGAAGGAGAAGACAGTTGATCAGTATTAAAAACCACCATACACATTCTATATATTGAACTTCAAATTCATCATATCTGCGTGTAGCTTATAATTACCCCATCTCTCTCTCTCTTTCTCTCTCTCTCTTCACAATGGCCATTTCCTTGCACATGAATCCCAAGATAGAGAGAATGTTTACATTGGCGGGGGAAACTAGGTACAATCAAAAGAGTTGAAAGTTCAATACTATATCATGCAGAGCTAATGCTAAGTTGGCAATGCAAAATGAGAAAACTAACTTCTATGATGTTCTTTCACTTGGTAATCCTGAGATTGTAGGCTTTGATGAGATCAAGAAGGCTTACAGAAGCATGGCTCTTCAGTACCACCCTGCTGTTTGTCCTCCCTCCACCAAAGAAGAGTCGACTACGCGATTCGTTGAGCTTCAAAAGGCTTATGAGACTCTTTCTGATCCGATCTCGCGCCAAAGATACGATTATGAGTTGGGTTTAGCTCATAATTCATTAGGGTGTTGTGTTGGGAAACTTTGCAGAGAAGAGAGAAGAGAGAGTTTCCCAAAGGAGGTGTGGGAAAAGCAGCTATCTGGACTAAGAAAAAGGTCTGGTCTTCGAATGGAGAGGAAGAAAAATGGATGCATGTAGAAATAGAGATTGTAGTTGTTGTCTTTCAAGTTCATTTATTTAATTTTTGGTAGTAATTATCAGTTAGAAGTAAATAATAGGTTCCATGCACCAATTTTTTCATTTCATCAAATTGCCGAACAATATTGATATCACATTAATTTCCTCATGATTAAGCTCATTCACCCTTTGCTGTACTTGGCTACTTGTGTGTGTGTTATTTTATTTTATTTTTATTTTTCAGTAAGTTTTACCTGCCTACTTCTTGGGCGACCTTATAATTAATTTTTTTTCCAAGGAATTAGGAAAGAAACCAATAAAGAAATAGAATAGATCATATTTCGAAGTGTAGTGGAATTGGGCCATGTCAACATAACGTAATCGAATTGGTTATCACATTTATGAATTTTTCTACAACCTTCCAAGTAGGGTCCAAAATGCATCAATACAAAAAATTGATGAAAAGGTACCACTTATCCCAAATGTACCCTCGAGGTGGATCTGCAAAGAGCTTATGATTCAATGAACTGGGATTTCTCATTTGACACCCTCACTCTGTATGGTTTTCCCACCATATTTTTCACATGGATTAAAGCCTGTGTTATCCGTCAATCCTTCTCCAATTCTATCAATGGTGAACTTCATGGGTATTTTCATGGGCACTATGGGCCTTAGGCAAGGGGATCCTATCTTTCCCTTTTTATTTGTCATTGTCATAGATGTTCTATCCTATATTCTTTTATTTTTACTTTATTAGTATTTGACAAAGGTCTACGTCGAGATTGAGGTCGAGTCCATCATGTAGGGCATGTAAAATAACTTGCTGAAAATTTATGGATAGATTATTTTTGTTAAATTTTAATATTTTTTTTCTTCGTAAATATTTTACGACAACCAAACATCAAAAAATAAAAAATAAAAAATTTTAAAAAAAATTTCCCTTATCCTCTTACTCAAGCTTAACAAGTCAAAAAAAAAAAAAAAAAAAAAAAAAAAAATTGAAAGGAAAATAAATTTTATTTTAGATGGCTGATGAGTTGGAAAGTAAGAAATGGTAATGGGTTGGATTTTACTTTTAAAAATGGATAAAATTTTGTTATGGATTGTGTTGGGTTGGAGTAATGATCGCTAAAGGGGTAAGTGGGCTTTGGTAAGTGGCTAATATTATATCACATGGATTGAAAAGAACTATGTCTATATTTTTTCACAAGTCCCTTAAGTAAGCTTATTTAGAACATGCTAACAAACAAATGACTACAACAAAAGCATTCTTTGAGCTTGGTTAGTATCAATACATTGCTTCAATTTCCATATATACACACATATATATATGGAAATTTAAGCAATGTATTGATACTAGACAAGCTCAAACAATATATATAATTCGGTTATGAGATCAAACTTCTTTCTCTGTGTTTTTTTTTTTTTCCATATATATATATGTGTATATATATATATAATTCGGTTATGAGATCAAACTTTCTTTTTGTTTTTTTTACTTAGATCTTCACTAGTGAGATCTATACATTTGTGGCACAATCATATTACTACACCTCATGCTCAACAAAAATAGGGGAATAATGTCATCCAAATATGAAATTGGCCCACCTAAATTCCACTCTTTTTTATTTTCATTTTTTTTTTATTTATTGACAATTAAAGATACTATGTTATAACAAAATTGTGCCACCTATGTGATGAGGATAGTGTAGGTCCTCACCGCTGATAACTTAAATATTGTCCTTTCTTTTTGTTTTTCTTATTAAACTAAATTTGTATGTGTATATGGGAGTTCTTAATTTGAAAACAAATTATTATGATCATGTGTAAATTTCAATATATATACATATATATATATATGTGTGTGTGTGTGTGTGGTTGTATGTACAAACATAGTGTACAACCCAAAAGGTAAATGGTTAGCCCAAAGTAACCAAGTTAAAAGAACAAAACATTTGCCCAACCCAACAAACAAAACTAAACCCAAATGGAATTGGAAGCCCACCCAATGTAGTAGACCATTGGCACAGAGTAGTTCCTCAAATCTGGAAACAACCATTGGAGAAGCACTCCTCAAGAATGTTGATCAGGTGGCTTTGTTGAAGGGCGAAGAACAGTGGAAGGCAAATCACATTCATCTGCTATACGTCTAGCAATGGGTGAATCAGTGAGTGAAGTAGTCATTAGCTTTGAATCAGACTGGTTTTAAGGTGCGGTGCAGGACTAAGTTTGTTGAAAGTGTTTCTTCTTGAAAATCCTTTTGTTGCGATCACATTAGACATTGTAGACAAGAGATGTGAGCTCTATGCCACAAGCTCTGTCCAAGATGGTGGTAAGATATGGAATCCGCAACATGTTTGTAAAAATGGCCACAAGGGATTGACAAACTAGTATTTGAAAAACATGAGTTCATGGGATTCAGGCTCAGTGTAACAGAGATTGGCTGCATATTGTAACTATGGGATAATACTAGCTTCAACTGAGATAATACTAGCTTCAACTGATTCACTGACACCAGAGAAAAAAGATATGAGTTTTATTGAGCTTAGTATGGAGGCCAGAAAGTGAAGAAAATTATTAAGTCAATTGCATGCTTAAGTCGATCTCTGAACTGGAGGAAGGCTGTCATGGGAGAAAAGCATAAGGTCATCTACAAAAATTAAGTGAGTACGTGAGTGAGAGTGTCTTATAGGATAGCCCAAAAGATGGAGCGAGTCAAATAAGAATTCTCGAGAAACTGAATCAAAGAGCATTCTTAGGTCTAATTTCAATGAACATCTAGGAGAGTTTCCTTGTCTGTGATACCCATTTACCAGCGCTCTTAAGCTAAGAGAATACTGTCTTTAATTTTCCTACCTTGAACGAAAGCAGATTATAAAGGATCAATTATAAATGGTAGTTTGAGACTCTGAAGATTGATTAATTACAACTTGAAGGTAAGCATTTTGCAATTTATGCTCTTATACTATTGTAGTTATTTATTTATTTATTTTCAGCTAGTGTAGTTATTGATTAATAAGAAAAATGAAATTTATTTCTAACTTTGGTTCTTTCACGTTGAGTTCATAAAATGTTTTTTCACACCTTTCACTTTACTTTCAATTTTATCCTTCTTCACTAAAAATAAAAATACATAAAATTTTTTCTCTTTCACAAGAGAGAGAGAGAGAGAGAGAGTAGATAAAAAAAAATAAAAATAATAAAAAAATAAAAAAAGAAGAAGAAGAAGAGGAAATAAAAAAAGAAAAAAACAGCACACTAACTCATCTCTTGCGTCAACTGTCGCCGGCCAACAAGTCATTGGCTAGCTATATTCTTCTCTATTAACCTATTTCTTATCTATCTTTTCTCATCTCTCTCCCATATTACTGTTACTAATTCTTATTGGTGAACTAGGGAAAAATAAAAAAATAAAAAAAAATAAGGCAAAACAAAACTAGGGGGGAAAAAAAACTTATTGGTGTTATTTTGTACCACTGTATTTATGTATTTTATAAATTTATTTATTAAAAATGAATTTTTAAAAGAAAGGCATATGTTTCCTCTGAATCGGGGCCTTGAATTTGGATTTGAAAAAATTTGGTAAAATTTTGATATAAACTTCCTCTAATTCCAAATCCAAGACAATCGATTCGGTACATGCATAACATTTGCTTACTATGGAACAAGTCATACTTCCCACAATTAAATTATATTAATTTGTAAGATAGTCATAAAAATGAGGATATATATCATGGTTGATTAATAATCATAAATTAAGAAGAAAAAAACTAAATTGAAGTTGTACCTAATTTTTTATTTTATTTATTATTATTATTTTTATCTAAACATTGAAAAACACCATTTTGCTTATAAAAGTCTTCTTCTAAATTAAAATGTAATTATTATTCTATGAATTTTCAAAATATAGTAAGTTCTACTTGAAGTCTTGAAGATACTCATATCAATTTATTCAATTAAAAACCATAAACAATCCACAAGCCCATAATCTGAATTCCTTCTTGTTAAAAAATAAAATATTAAAATAAAAAGTTCCCAGGGGTATATCGCGTTGACAGGGATCCAAAAGTTAAATTCTTGAGGTCTCACTTTCAAACCGCAGATACGTATGGAGCCGATACACGTACTCTAAAAAAAATAATAATAATAAAAATCTCTGAACTTCCATCCTAAAGAGTTCCACAACATGGAGGAAAATAGATATATATATATATATATATATATATATATATATATATATATCTCCCTAAGGATAATATTTGTAATATCATAAACCTTTTGACATATGCCAGAATTAGTTTTGCTAGTAACATATATAAAGAATTATGGTTGAATGGTGCAAAACTTCTTTGGGGACACCGTCAAACCAAAGATTAAAAATGAAGATTACAATGCTATATATACCTTTGAGGCTAGGTGACAGAATATATGTGTTAATAATTAACGAGGATAGAGCATTTCTATCAATTAAGAGTGTTACAAAGAAGAGATCGATCATGTGTTTTAATCTGCCATACAAGGCCATGAAGGAAAGGTATGTTGGTAAGAAAGGAAGTGATGGAGAGGAAAGCAAGGGCTTATTAATGAAGGAGATTGAGAGATGGAGGAAACAACAAGAGGTGAGAACTCAAGGTGATGATGAATCTGTGCTACCAAACAATCCCTCCAACCCCAACCATGTTAATTGATCCTCTATTTTTTTTCCTTTTTTTTTTTTTCATTCCATTGTGTTAAATTCATGCAAGTATGTAGTACTATTTCAAGGTTTTGTATGTTTCACTTCCTTTCTATTTTCCCCTTGCTACAAAAACATATCAAATGCAAAGAAAAATCATACTATGTTTTTAAGTGTGATTTTTTATAAATTTGATCTAACATTTTTTTGTTAATTAAGTTATGATGATTTGTACAAAGTGACATTCATTCTTGGTTGCAAATTAATTAATTTATAATTAATTGTATAAGTGCAAGTGTAGTGTTGTCCAAGTGGTTGAATTATTTTGTATTTGAAAATTCGTGTT